ACCGGCAACTGTATTAAAAGGGAAATGCTTCTCACATTTACATTTAGATTGAAACGACGGGTGTCAGAGGTGTCTAACAGCTCCCTGGGATAAGTGGCCTGACGCTGGGGCCGTCCTTGCCAGTTTATATTATGAAGATTTTTTTGTGTGTGTTTGAAATTTCATTATGTTGACATAATTATTCCCTTCCTTGAGACAGTTGTACGGTATGGAGTAAAACATAAATTGCCTCCTTGCGAGATCCAGGATCGAGCGCTGGGATGGGCGGGACGTGGGGCGAGCAGCTCCGTAAGCACGAGCCTTTCTATTTTGCACTGGTTTGAGCCCAAAATGCTGAGCAGTGCATTTACTCAGGGCACTTCCCTCGCTCTGCCCCTGGCCTGGCTGTGACGACTCCTCCTCCTCGTCCTCCTCCTCCTCCTCGCTGGCTGCAGCATCCTCGAGAGCTGCGGATGTGCTGAGCCCAAGCTGCAAGGCAGGGCGCAGGAATCCCACGGTGCCGTTTCCCTTCCCCACGTTTTCTTGCTGCAGATCTATATTGCCAGAATCCACTTTATAGTAACACCTGAGCCCTGAGAGCTAAAATTCACTTTCTGCGTCGGCTCGTGTGAGTCTCTGAATGTGCCCGCGGGGCCGTGGTGACGGTGCCTCTGCTTGGGCATCATCGCTGTGCCTGGGCAGCGTCTGCTCTCGGTAACAAACAGGTTTACATTCAAATCGCCGCTCAGGGGGCGTGCGGGAAGGGGACCCCAAGGTCACCCACAGCCGTGCAGTCCCCAAAGTTGCCCCAGTGCCCTGCACAGCCCCTCCCGCAGCCACCAGCCCCTCTCTGGGGTGCAGCGTGGGTGCCACAGACCGTGGGTGCCCAGGGACCGGGGTGTCCCTGAGGGGGGCCAGGCTGAGCCCCGGCTCAGCAGCATCAGCCCCGTGGTGGTCCCTTGGCTTCCGATGGGCCCAGGGCTGTCATGCAGAAGGCAGCAGGGTTGGGGGGACCCCCCCAGCTGGGGGAACACACTGTTTGCTGCTCTCGGAGCTGTGCCTGGGGGGTTTTGTTTGTCAGTGGCCAGAGAAAGTGGGGCGGGGGTGCCAGGAGGGGTGCGTGCTGCTGTGTGCCTGGCTGCCTCCCCGCCAGTCACTGTCAGGTTAATAATAGCAGAATGGGGGAAGGAATTAAATGCAGCCACTGAACTATATTTAATTTGTGCCGTATCCTGGAGCTGAGGAACTAGTTCAATAGAGACTCTTATCAGCCTGTTTGAAGGGCTGAGCTTTTTATCTAGCTGTTGTTTTACTGCCTGGTCTTGCAGTTACAAATTGCTGAATACAGGCACGTAGGCAGCCGGAGCTTTGGGTTTTCTCCTGTGGGGCTTCTCTCCTCTTGGGGGTCAGCGTTCCACCACGTGCCCCCTCCTGAGCTGCCAGCTGCTCACGGGCCCAACCCCGGCGTGGGGAGCATCTCTGTTGCCTGGGCAGTGGGGCCATCCCCACGCGACCCAGAGGAGTTTCCACACCGAAACGGGTCCTCTCCATCTTCTACCCGAGCCAGGAGGGAAGGGAAGGACTTGGAAGCGCAGAGTTTCAAAAAGCTTCTTGGCTGCGTTCAGGTTTTTTACCCATCCCAGCGCATTTCCAGAGGCAATCGTGATGCTGTGCAACCCAAACTGGGATGTAGCTTTGCGTGTTTTTATGAACTGAAATGTTCTTCCCCTCGGGCCCGCGCACCCAGTGATCCCAGGGCTTTCATTATTTACTCTGACAGGCTGCCGGCTCCTGTGCCGCGGCCTGTCGCAGCCCGCGCCGCAAATCATCTCTCACCTTGTCACCACCGAGATGGCAATTTTACAGCTGGCAGCTTCAATCACAGTGAATTTGCAGCTCGCGCTCACTCGCCTTCTCTCTCTGCCGTGTGATGGTTTAGGAAGCGGCACAAAGATTCCCTCCCGGGCCGAAAGGACTCGGAATCCGCTGGGCTCAGCGGGCAGCGCCGGGGCAGTGCCCTCGGCGCGTGGCGCGGGCGAGGCTGCGTCCACGGAGCCGTCCAGGCTGTGCCACTCCTCCGGCTTTTTGTCCCTGTAGTTTAAATTATGCCTCGAGTTTCTGGGTTTCCTTATCGGCTGCAGCGTCTCTGTAAAAGCCTTCCTTTGTTTCCAAGCAGGTGTGTGGTAGGTGTGAGCGGAGGAGCAGCCCCACGCTCTGTGCCCCGCTCCCCCCCGGCAGGGACATGCTGCGCTCACACCGGGTGCTTTTACACCCTCCACACCGCGCGGGGCAGGGGGGTCAGGTTTAGTATCAGATCTGCTCATTTGCTCTATCGGCGTCAGGTTTTGACTCGGCAGAGCAACACGGTGACGCGCCGCAACCACAGCGCGGGCACGGTACGGCAGGTGCCACTTACACCCGTGTCGCTACGCCGACGTGGTGCCTGTCCCCGGTCCCTCTGCGCTCACCGCAGCGGTGCTGGGTGTCCCCCGCTGCAGGACGGGACCTGTGGGTGGCCCACTGCTCTCTCCAAACTTTGTTTTATTATTCGCCCAGGTTTTACATTCTATGTTGGGCTGAGCCATGTATACGCTTCCCTCACCCCGGTCGGGCTGCCTCAGGAAGATGTTGCTCTCCACTAACGATCTCTGGGATGGCTGTTCGTACACCCCGGCGCTGCCCTGGCACAGCCCTGTGCCCCAGCCCAAGGTTTAGGGGTTAACCTCCATGGGGTTAAGTTCCGTTTCCACACAGTAATTCCTGGTGGCCGCCCTGTGCTCGGGATTTTTGGCTCATCACCTCTGAGCCTTTTTCCACTGGGGGGCGGGGGGGCCAGTCATGGAGCTGTTTGGCTTCATTTGCTCCTTTTCTCCTGGAAGGTGAGGTTTGGGTTTTACAAGCCGGTGCATGTGTGGCAGGGCACAGCTGCTCGCAAGCCCTGGCAGGGCACGGGGAGCCCTGGGTGGGTGGGGGGGCG